TTAAGATTATTAATATTATAAATATTTATGCTCCTCAAATAGGTTTAGATATGCATTCAAAATTAAAATTTTAGAATGACTTGGAAGAATTAAAACAAAAAATACCTCTTGAAGAAAGAGTTTTTATTGGAGGAGATTTAAATGAACATGTTGGTAGAGAGGTAGATGATTTTAAAAGCATTCATGATGACAATGAATTTGGAGTGACTAATGAAGTTGGTAAAATTATATTAGATTTTACTATAGCTTATGATTTTATAATTGCTAATATCTTATTTAAGAAAAGAGATGAGAATTTCATCATTTATAAGAATGGATATAGTAAAACTCAGATTGATTATTTTCTTATAAGAAAAATAGGTCATTTAAATTGTAAAGATTGTAAAGTTATTATGAGTAAAAGTTTATGTACCCAATATTACTTATTAGTTTTGGACTTTAAGATAAAATGGTAGAATATAAAAAATAAAGTAAAATATTTTGAGATTAAAATTCTACATTTTAAGATTTTATCTGTGCAGGAGAAAGCTAATGTTATGTGAAAAAAAGTAGCTAGTGATATTAAAATATTGCAAAAGATGTGTTTTGAGTATCAAAGGGTAAAGTTCATAATAGTAAAAATAGTTGTGAAATATATAAAGAGACCCATAAGTAGTTTAATAAGCAATATGTGATGCAAAGATTTTAGCTTTTAATGATTTATATAATAAATTAGATCATAAGGAGAGCGAAAGATATATGTATAAGTACGTCAAATAAAAAGATGGGAGTTGTTAGGATTTAGTTCAATTGAAGTTAAGAATGAAGATCAAAAAATATTTTTATCAGAAGAGGATATTCAACAAAGGTGAATGAGATATTTTGCAATGAAGATTTTAAGATACGATTGACTTTAGTGACCTTAATCCTAAATGAAAATAGAAAATTTTATTTTTAGTAAAATTAAAGTTAGAAAAGCTTTAAAGAAAATAAAGTGTGAAAAGCCTTTGGACCTAATGATATTCCAATAGAGGTGTGGAAATGCTTAGGAGATGCAGGATTTCTTTTGCTTTCTAAACTTTTTAATATTATTTTGAAGTCTAAAAAGATGTCAGATGAGTGGATAATGAGTTTGTTGATTCTTGTTTTTAAGAATAAAGGTGATGCACAAGATTGTATGAATTATAAAGGAATTAAGTTAATGTGTCATACTTTAAAATTATGGAAAATAGTTATAGAGCATAGGTTACGACGTGATAGTAATGTTTCTCAAAATCAATTTGGATTCATGCCAGGTAGGTCTACTAGGAAGCTATACATTTATTGTGAGGTTTGATGGAGAAGTTTAGAGAGAATAAGGAGGATCGACATATGATATTTATTGATTTAAAAAAAACATATGATAAAGTTTCAAGAGAAGTGATATGGAGAGTTCTAGAAAATAAAGGGGTTAATAATGTTTATATTCAAGTCATTAAGGAAATGTATGCAAAAATTGCTACTTGTGTTCAAACACAAGGTGGTTTGACCAAGTATTTTCCTATTTCGGTTGAATTAAATCAAGGATCATCTTTAAACCCATATATTTTTGTTTTAGTTTATTAGTTATGAATGTTTTTACTAGACATTTGCAAGAGTTTGTACCTATGTTGCATCGATACGGATACGGCGACACGGACACGACACGATACGGATACGGGACACGTCAATTCTTAAAAATACATGATACGGGTACGGCGCGGACACGGCGTCATAATTTATAAATCATAAATAAAAATTAAGAAAGCAATCAAAGCATAATATTTGAAATTATAAAAAAAAATGACAACAACATCATTTGTAGTCTTGTAGCTTATAATATCAAAATATAAGTAAGCATTAAATGTCTAGTACAACAACAAAAGCATAAACATAAATTGTCTAGCACATAGAGTTTCAACTATTCTATAGAAGGAATGATATGATTAGCTTCTTCAGTGGTTTGCCTTTGAACTTCTATATCATCTTCAATAAATATCATAGATTTTAATTCAGGCTAATCAAGTGAAAGATTAGTAATTTATAATATTCTCATATCATCAAGAGACTCAAATCCATCTCGGAAATGAGAGAACTTTGCTCGCAGTCGCGGAAGTAAATACGACGCATCTTTTTTTTTTTCGGATTTCTTTTTTGTTTTTAAACGGACACGTGTATCGGATATGCGTGTCCTTTTGAAATTAAATAGTATTTTAATTGGATACGTCTTTGGCGTATCCGACACGTATCAGTGGAGTATCGGAGGCGTATTCGTGTATCGGTGTATCGAATACAGCACACCTTCATAAATAGGTGTATCGGTGCAACATAGGTTTGTACCATTGTGTATGCTTTTTGCTTATGATATTCTTCTTGTTGATAAGACTAGAGAGAGTTGAAAGTAAACTTGAATTACGGAGGTCAACCTTAGAGTCTAAAGGTTTTCGTTTGAGTAGATCTAAAACTAAATATATAGAGTGTACTTAGTAGTAATAGATCTAGTAGGGGATTGTGACTTTGGGCAATCAAGTCATTAATAAGAGCACACATTTTAGATATCTTGAGTTTATTGTTCAGAATGATGGTGAAATAGATGGTGATATTATTAGTAGAATTCAAGTTGAGTGGTTGAAGTGGAGGAATGCATTGAGCTTGTTGTGTGATAGAAAAGTACCCTGCAAATTTAAGGGAAAATTCTATGAGATGGTGGTGAGTCCTGCAATGCTTTATTATGCAGAATGTTGGTCATTAAATGAGAAGTATAATATTAAGTTAAGTGTTGCAAAGATGAGGATGCTCAGTTGGATGAGTGGCTTTACTCTTAGAGACAGGATATAAAATGAGCATATGTGTGAAAAGGTTGGACTTGCTCCAATGGCATATAAGATTAGAGAGAGTCGCCTTAGATAGTTTTGTCATATCAAACGGCTGCCTTCTGATGACCCAGTTAGAAGAGTAGATGTATTAGATTTGGCTTATGTTAAGAATGCTAGAGGTAAACCTAAAAAGATTTGGTTAGAAAATATAAAAAATGATCTTTCTTTATTAGATTTAAATGAGAATTTGACTCTTAATATGACAAAATATAGAAAAATAATTCATATAACTGACACAACGTAGTGGGATAAAGACTTGATGTTGTTGTAGATTATATTAATTTTGAATTTGTTTTGTATGATTAGGATAATTCTTGTTAGAATTATTATTTTGTTTAAACTAGGTTGTTATTATAAATAAGTTTTTTCAAATTTAGTGGAGTTTGTTTAATTGGATTAGGTTTATTTATGTTATGATTGTCTAGTTAAAAGCTTTGAACTTTGTAAAAAGGTAAGAAAAATATGCCAAGTTCTTTTTGGATTGTAGCAAGATCCTCATGTTACATGATTTCATGAACTAAAGATGTCATTGACTTCATTGGGAGTCACCTAAGTAGACTTGGGGTAGACAGTGTTTGACTAGGTAGGTTGTTGATCCTCTAGTTTGAGGGTTACCAGGAGACAAGGAAATGACTTTTATTTTGATATCTCTCTTGGCCACTTTCTCTCACAAAGGTGTCATTGTGGATTGCCTTTGGGTACAACATTCTGAGTTGGACATGATACTATCTTGGTCACTCCTAGTTCAACAACTTTTTTTAGTTCAACAAAAGCCCAAAATGAATTTGGTACGCTAATGTAATGTGACATATTCATTTGGCCCCTACAAATTATTTTGCTTCTTTTCTCATTTTCATTTTTCTCATTGTAGCTCGATTGACTGGCTTTTTTTTTCTTTTGTGCAAATGTCAAGATACTTTCATTTGACTAGCAATGGAAGTTTGACGAGCTCCTATCGTATTAGGCAATTTGTTGAGGTCTGAGAGCCTTAAAGTGCTTTTGTTTACGCAACTTCCTTGTCCCACCAACAATGGAGGGCTTCGAGGTTCTACTGCCGCGATGGTCTTTAGCAAAGTTGTGAAAATCAGACTGAATGTCGAACAGAAAAAATGAGAGGTTCAATGTTCAACAGTTCGACTGGAGTTGAACCATATGATGTAATAAATATTATAATTATTTAAATAAAATATAAATGATATAAATTTGTTATTAAAAATAAGTTTAGTTGATATATAAACTTAGAACGTTAATATAAATTATTTATAATTTAAATTAAATTTTAATAATTTATTGTTAATTTATTTAATATGTTGTGTTGGTGCTTAGTTGATAAATAATCATTACATAAATTTCAGCTTATTATAAAATTAAAATATAGTACACTTAAATTAATTTATTTAAATATTAAAATAGTATATCAAAACCATTCACACTGATTTGATGTTGGGTCGGTTTTTAAGGCGAATTGAATCAGCCAAATGGTTGGTTCATGGTTGAACAAGCCGGTCTGATCCGGTTTTCAAAATCATGATTTTTAGCCAAGGAGCAAAATTTTGGGATAATTGCATTCACAATACCTGATTCACCTTATGTATAGGTTCCTTTTGAGCATCTTTGATTACAAGGTATTAAAGTTTATGGGGTTTTTCTCTTCTTCAAACCCTTTAGGACCTATCACTCTACAACTGCCTTCAGGAGAGGATGAGGAGTCGTTTCTTGTGGATACACCTTCTTATGCTACTACAAGTATGTTGATTGAATATCTTGTTTATGATTTTGGTTTATGGATATGTGACCTCTCTTTTTCATCTTTTTTGCAAAAATAGGGTTGTCCTCTGATAAATTGAGAATTACGAAGATATTGAGAGCATACCTTACTCAGAGAACCTCCGTCTTTCACCTTCATTCGCATTGTATAAACTCAAGCTACAGTTTTTATGCATACAGTTGAATATATATAGCTCCTGAGAGAGGAATTCAACAGTGGTGATTAGCTGAGTTCGTTAGGAAGGAACGGTGAAGATTGATCAGCTCGTTTCAGCGCTTTCTGCAGGTGTTGGTGGCGAGCGATCCTATGACATAGCACTTTCCAGCTCAGCTCTGTTATCAGCCCCCCCGCAAATTGATCTACAAGTTCTGGAGAGTCAATTTGTGTCTGAAATCACAAAATTTAGAGGTGGAGAGCGGCTTTGTAAAAATATCGGCAATTTGATCATTTGTAGAGACATGATGAATGACCACCGTGCCATTGTTGACACATTCTCGGATAAAATGGTGATCAATTTCGATATGCTTGGTCCTCGCATGGAATACCGGATTGTGAGCCAAAGAGATTGCAGATATGTTGTCACAGAAGATGGGGACCGGAGATGAGTGTTCAACATGAAACTCCTTGAGTAGTCGGCGGAGCCAAATAAGTTCCGTGGCTAGTGATGTAAGAGCACGATATTCTGCTTCAGTAGATGACCGAGCAATGGTACTTTGCTTTTTAGTGGCCCAGAAGACTAAGGTAGAGCCGATGAATACACAAAATCCGGTCGTAGATTTCCGATCAGTTTTGTCACCTGCCCAGTCTGCATCAGTGAAGGCAGTGAGATTCAATGACCCAGCTGTGATCGGTAAACCGAGAGCAACTTTCCTTTGACATAACGAAGTATACGTTTTAACCAAGAAAAATGAACATTTCTTGGATCATGCATATGTTGACAAACTTGATTCAGTGCAAATGTGATATCAGGTCTTGTTAGAGTCAAATACTGCAGTGAGCCAACGAGACGCCTGTAGAGTGGAGGATCGGTAAAGGGAAATTCATCATCAGAGTTGTCTACTACTTTGGATGTCATCGGCGTTAAGAGCGGCTTACAGTTGACCATGCCAGCACGTTGAAGTATGGTGTTAGTATAGGAAGTTTGCTGAACTAGATAGCCTGAATGAACTGAGGTGAATTGAAGACCAAGAAAATTGTGAAGGTTGCCTAGATGCTTTAATTGGAAGGTGCCTTGTAGATCATCAAGTAACTGCTGCTGGATTGAGGCATTGTTGCCCATCAAAAGGATGTCATCCACATAGATTAACAAGAACAGATGTGTGCCCTTATTGGAATAGAGGAACAGGGAAGTATCAGCATTGCTTCTGGTGAATCCCCACGTAATGAGATGATCTGTAAAAGTAGAGTACCATTGTCTTGGGGCCTATTTCAGACCATAGATGGCTTTGTTCAAGCGACATACATGAGTTGGATAATTCGGATCGGTAAAGCCAGGAGGTTGAGCCATAAACACCGTCTCAGTTAGCTTGCCATGCAGAAAAGCATTAGAGACATCAAGCTGACTGATTGGCCATTTATTGGTTAAAGCCAGTAGAATAAAAATTCGAATGGTTTGAATTTTGGCTACTGAGCTGAAAGTTTCATGGAAGTCCACCCCAAGTTCTTGATGAAAGCCTTTGGCAACCAGCCGAGCTTTGTACCTAGCCACCGTGCCATCTGAGTGCAATTTGGTTCAAAACAGCCATTTGGAACCTAGTACATTTTATGTAGGATCTGATGGAACAAGAGTCCATGTCCCTTGCATTTGAAGGGTCTGAAACTCCTCCGACATAGCTCTGTGCCAGTGGTATGATTTCACTGCAGTGGTATAGCAGGTTGGTTCTGATAATGGCACAGCCTGAGTAAACAGAGTGAACAACTGTCTGGGCCGTTGGTGTCCTGTCCTCGAACGAGTAAGCATAGGGTGAGTAGGAACAGGGAGTGTAGTGGTTAGGGAATTGGAACAGGCCGGTGGTGGATTTGGAGATGTAGACACAGTTGAGAGTGAAGGAGCATAGGTAGTAGATGCATTAGATGAGGAAGTTACAGGAAGCGATGACACCATGGTGTCTGTCGTTGGGAGCAAAGAGTGAGGAATGAGAGTGTGAGGATTTGTTGATACAGAAGGAGAAGAGAGGGTTAATGATGGTGGCAGGGTAGTATTCTGATATGGATAATGATGCTCATGAAACAAAACATTAATAGCAATGGTCACTTTCCCAGTGGATGGGTGATAGCAGTAGTAGCCTTTAGTGGGTTCAGCATACCCAATGAAGACAGACTGTAGTGCTTTGGGGGAGAATTTATGCTTTGAATGTGGGGGAGACAGAGGATAACATAAGCAACCAAACACACGCAAATGTGTATAATCCGGTAGTTTACCAAATAAACATTGATAGGGTGAGCGATTATGAAGAAGAGGAGATGGCATTCTATTAATAAGGTAGGTGGCTGTCAAGACAGCATAAACCCAGAAGCTGTAAGGGAACTGAGCATCAATTAGCAGAGCACGAGCTGTCTCCACTATGTGACGATGCTTACGCTCAGCAATGTCATTTTGCTGGGGTGTATACGGACATGAAATCTGATGTATAATACCATTGGTGTTGAGAAATTTGGTGAAAGCATTATTCACAAATTCCTTCCCTCCATCTGTCCGAAAAGTGATGATGGATTTGGAAAACTGTTTTTCCACTTGAAGTTTAAATTGTTGAAATTTATGGAAAGCATCAGATTTATATAGCATAGGATACACCCAGGAAAAACGTGTGAAATCATCCACAAACACAATGTAATATCTATTGCCATTAAACGAAGTAAAAGGAGCAGGGCCCCATACATCAGAGTGTATAATCTGTTGAGGTTGAGAAGTACATGATAGAGAGAGAGGGAAACTAGTTCTATGACATTTAGCCTGAGAACAGGAATTACAAAATTTAAACGAAGACAAGATAACTGAAGGCGAGATCTGTTTTGCAAGAGAATGCATTGCAGCTGAATGTGGATGCCCCAAACGTTTGTGCCAAATTTCAGCAGTTGTTGATTTGGAGAGCAGTGCGGTATGAGAAGAAGCGGAGACTTTGGACTGGATTGGATATAAGCCATCATGGCTGCGACCGCGAAGGAGAAGACGGTTGGTTGGCCAAATCCTTAATGTGGAATTCATGAGGTAGAAAGGAAACAGAGCAGTTGTTGTTAGTTGTTAATTGATGGATAGATAACAAGTTGTGGGTAAGTTGAGGGACATAGAAGAGTGGTTTAAGAAGAAGCTTACTCGTCGGAGTAGGAAGAATGCCTTGCCCTTGAGCTGCAATTGGTAAAGATTGACCATTACCAACCATGATAGATTGAGATCCAGCATATTCTGAAGGAGCTTGTAGCTGAGAGGGATCTGAGGTGAAATGGGATGACGCACCACTGTCCAAAAACCACTTTGTTGGAGGCGGAGGCTGAGGCGACGCAGTCAGAGCTGTAAGATTTTGAGGAGATGGTCTGTAATTCAGATCAGTTCGATACCAGCATTGAGCAGCATTGTGTCCTCTTTTGAAGCAAATCTGACAGGAAACGGATGAGTTCTTAGTTCTTCCTCCACGATCAGTGGATGATCGACCTCCACGAGAGTTGGACCGACCACGATCAGCATTCCATCTGCCACGGCCTCTACCTCTAGTAGTATATAAAGCAGATTGAGGTTCCTGAACATCAGAGATATGACTATCTCGAATTGCTTCAGCTGCCAGTGTAATTTCTTCACTGCATAACAGTGAATATAAGTCATCAAGACTGAGTGGTTCCAGTTTGGTGCGAATTGCAGTTTTAAAGGCATGATATGATGATGACAGACCATTCAAGGTATAAAGTATAACATCTTCAGTGTCTAATGATCTGCCTGCTGCATTGATTGCATCTACTTTAGATTTGATAAGAGCTAAATATTGTGCCATGGTCATGTCCTTCATTGAAATATGGTGTAACTCATTCTTGAGTTGCATGATTCTCGCTCTGTTAGTGGATTGCAGTCGTTTGTCAATAGTCATCCATATGCTTGCACATGTTTCTAAATTAAGGTAACAATGAGTCGGAAATTACAGAATATAAAGCTGCTGCCAGATTTTGATCAGTATGCATCCACAGTGTATAATGAGAATTCGGTGTAGGTAAACCATTAGTCCCTGTGATAAACTTGCTAGGACACTTTGTAGAACCATCAAGATAACCCTCGTATCCATTAGCTTGAAAAATTTTGAGTACCTGGGCTCGCCATATCGGATGATTCTCAGCAGTTAAGTGAGTATGTATAATGTTCTTGATATTGGCCATGACAAATTTGAGCTGAGGTGAAACTGCATAAGTAGCAGTTTCCTTAACTGTTTCTGTAGTCATATCTTGTTGAGCAGATGATGAAGCCGAGCTATCCATTGAATGCGGTGAAGCTACAACAGCTCTGATAAATTGAGAATTACGAAGATATTGAGAGCATACCTTACTCAGAGAACCTCCGTCTTTCACCTTCATTCACATTGTATAAACTCAAGCTACAGTGTTTATGCATACAGTTGAATATATATAGCTCCTGAGAGAGGAATTCAACAATGGTGATTAGCTGAGTTCGTTAGGAAGGAACGGTGAAGATTGATCAGCTCGTTTCAGCGCTTTCTGCAGGTGTTGGTGGTGAGCGATCCTCTGACAGAGCACTTTCCAGCTCATCTATGTTATCATCCTCCATAGATCTCAGCATTTAAGTTCGCCTGCTTTTTCTGCTAGAGATGAATGTAAAGTTCTGTTCATCGATCAACATTGGCCTCCATGAGTTTATTTAGGGATGTGACCTCAACTAGTTGATCTTTTAGGTAACTTTGGTGCTCATGTTGTGAGTTCTTGGCTTCATGTGGTTCTTTGGGATGTCTGGGGGCTAAGATCAGTTTTGGCTAGCCAGTTGCTGGTGCTTGAGCTTAAGGTTGTGAGCCTATTATGAGGGAGTGAGAACAACCACTTCTTAACCCTCTTTGAGGGCACAGGCAGATGCGGCTCATGCGCCTGAATGAATTGTTGAGCAAGAGTATCAGATTAAGAAAAAGGTTGTTGCTACCTTTCTAGTTGAGTTGCTGCACTAGAGAGCTTATATACAAAGAATTACCTTTAGGATGTGCTCTCTTTCAAAAGAGCATAACTTATTGTACTATGTATCCTCACCTGTCCAGTTTTCCTGTTGTAGATAAAAGAGCTAATGCAACGGCCCCAAATTTAGAGAGTCTCAATCTGAGCTATGGGTGGCCCAAACCACCTGTGCTGGTTCTATAAGGTACAACCTGAGCCGCATCCTACAACATTTCATATAAACAATGTAAATAGCACTCTTTTGCTTGTAACCGTGAGATATCTAGTTCCTATTCAACTTGAAAGTAATGAGGATCAAATATGATGTGATATCTTTCCCAGAGACAGCACAAATTCTTATAGGTAGAATATAGCTATTGTTGACCCATGAGCCTAAAGCTTATGCTAGATTTGATAATCACAAATTACAGTAAGAAGTCAGGATTGATGCTAACAAGTGAAATGTATGCAAAAAATTGGTACACAGTCAAGATGATTCTGGCAGTTGAAGACAAGCTTAGTAAACTAGAAAAATGGTGTTTGTCTATCATGTGTAAGAGCAATTCAAAATAAAAATATTAAAAGTATATAAGGCAAGTGAGATAGTGAAGCTTTGATTAAAATATAAAATTATTTTAGGTTTTTTCTTAGCTACATAAGTGATTTATTTTATAAATCAAAATATTTTTTAAATGTTACTGATGACCTTATTTATAATGAACTATATAAAATTTTTTATGAAAATGCCCTAACATTGATTAAGAAAATTTAAAATAAATTTTAGGATTTTTGGGCCTCCACAAAAGTTTGCAGGTCTCCACAATGTGTTTTCAGGCCTCCGCAAAAGTTATTGCTTTAAAGGTTTCAAATGTTAGAAAAATTATAGCAGGCCTCTGCTTAGATTTATGGATCTCCCCAAAGTCGCAAGTTTTTAATGAGTACACGTAAAATTTTAGGGCCTCTACAATGGCTGATTTTTGAAACTAATAATAATCATTTCTAGTTGTTTGACTCTAAGTGAAGAGAAAAAATCATGCAGTTTTTGGGCATTTAATGCTGATAAAACATGTATACTTTTTAATGTACTTTATTAATTTGGTGAAATGCTAAGTCCCTTATATAAATATAATCTTATACCCTAGGTCTAAATCTAGTACTTATGAAAAAAACTTTTGAGCCTTTAGAGAATTTCAGCACCAAACATTCTCTTGTAAAATATTCTAAATGAAATTTCTAGATCTTAGTGAGAGAGATAACATGCTGGTTTCTATGATGATGGTATTCAATGTTTTGGTGTTTGATGCACCTAGTTTCTTCACGTTGACTGAAGATTTGCGTGTAAGAACTCATTTGTCTTTGTAATTTTGATTTTTTTTCTTGATTGGCACTTGATCTGTGTGTAAGAATATTTGGAGGAGGTACACTTAACTTTGAAGGAGTGTAGGAGGTGTCTCGAAGTTGGTATAAAGGCTTCTCCGCCAGTGAATAAGTAATGATTTTGTTTTAGTACAGATTATGCAGGAAATCCTTGCTGTGGATATAGAATGTGGTCAAACCATATAAAAATAATTATTTATTCATGTGTTTGTTGTCTTTGCACTTCTTATTTATTGTTATTCTTTAACATTTACTATCTACTTTGCATCATGTTGTATTGTGAAAAGAAAAAAATTTTAAAAATCTTCAAAAGCCCATTTCACCCCCCATCCCCCCACTCGAACACATCTAAATCCACAACTATTTGACATGTATGTTGTTCATGATGATAGATGTGATAATTGTGTATTCAATTATAAAGATAAGACCCATTTTAGTTATTTCCTATAAATTCATTAGATAATGAAGCACAACCTACAACATATAACATTAGCATTGACTGTGAATTTGTCTCCAATAAAAAAATAATAAATGATAATAAATAAATAAAAATTCACGCCATTTGATTTTGATCAATTCACTTAAAAGATCGATCACCTTTAGATATTTTATCTGATGTCTCAGGATCATCATCTATCTTAGATGTCTTTTATGATATGTAGACCTCAAGTACTTCAATTGATTATGATAATGTTCATTCGCTAGCTGATTGATCTTTAAGTTTTCTTTTTTTCCCTTCCAAAGAAGGATGATACCTTTGCCTCCTGAGATACACATATTTGTTGTCGCAGACCTCCAGCCTGCTTTATCTTATATTTCCCATAGTGAGCTAACCACTAAGTTATCTTTTTTTTATTGTTATCCATCCTGCTTTGAAGCTTACTTTTCGCTCACCAATGCTTTATCTGATGTACCCCACTGAGCACCCTGAGTTGCATAGTGGCATAAATGATTGATTTTTATGACTCCTTGATGTAGTTGATTTGACACATCATTCATTGTATATTATTGCATTTTAATTAGCACTTTATTTTCACAATCTTGATTCAGGTGCGCTACAACAAGAACAAATTGACATGAATGATGATAAGTGTGTTACAACTATTGTTCAAAAGTATCCATCAGGGGAAATACTAATAATGCTTATGTGGTATTTTATATTCATCTCCTCTTCGATGTAACCATAAAAGACTATATGTTGTATGGGAATCTTGTATTGATTGATTCATGTTAGCACTTTACCTCCTAACATGTTAATATGTTATCTTCTTCTATTGTCATAGCACTTGATATTGTCCATTAAAAAAAAATCTAGATTTACATATTAACTGGCATGAGATATAATCCAACTCATACAACTTGTCAATAACTACAAACATTACACCAAATGATGTCCCTACAATTACTGGTACTACACCAACCCTTTAGACAGATGGATGTTTGAAGCAGATTTCTACTGAGCCTTCATAAAATCCGTAGGGGTGTGGTAGAATTAATATAGTACATCAAGTAATTCTCAGGTCAAGTCTAGATCGAACACAGCCAAATCACAATATCTTGCTTGATGTTTTTATTTCAGTGATTGTTGTAATTTTAAATTTCAAAAGTTAGTTTTAGTTCAGTTAAAGGTTGGTTTAAAGTTGGTTAATGAGAAAAGGGTCAAAAAGATCCTTTGACTCTTTATGGTTAGGTGAAGTTTTGTTAGCATGATTTGTCCTTCCCCTCCAAATTACATGTCAAAAAAAAAACAAAAATCATGACTGCTCAACAAATTCCAAACCTAAAGCCGCAGAATTTAGCTTCCTTTTTGGAATTTCAAATTCATATTAGCTTAATTTCAAACTTGATGTCACTTTTGGCTTGTAAAATTAATTGGCAAGTTTCTTCTCTTGGTTCTAGGCTTTAATGGCCCGTGGCCAAAAAGTAAAAAAACCCCAATTCTTTGATGAGGGTTCTTTGTCTTGTTTGCACTTTTTTATATTATTTCATTCTAGTTTCATAGCATCTTCTCCCTCTCACCTATAGTCTAAAACTTCTGCTTTGCACCTCTCCATCTCTCGGCCATCTCAAAACCTAAAGCCATAGTATTATCACCCATCCAGAAGGTTGTACTCCACATACAAAGCTCCTAACCCTTAGAATACATCAAGACCCTCGATCAAGGCCTCTCCCACTCCTCCCAAGTTTCGTTATTGTATCATTAAATTTATCATTTGCAAGTCAAACAAGTTAATTATATTATTTAATGTTAATTAGTTTCAAACTTATGAATCCTTTTATAGGTTTTAAATTTTTATATTTTTTCTAATTATTATGATATCTTATTTACTCATCTATTTTTCTACTCACTCAGAAGCTTAATATACAGTATTAGTTCTGATATTATTTTATTCAACACCTCAATCATAGAATCGTGATTTTTAACGGCCATTGGTGATTCAATTAAATACGTTCTTCTAGATTTTTGTCAATTTGAAATGCGATGACCGCACAGTCTGCTTTAACTCTTTCTGCGCAGCCGTTAAAGAAAGCATAGTATATTTTAGTGCCGGGCCGCTATCACATACATGGGATATGTAGTTTAAGTATGTTCACACTCATCACAGAGGAAATTTATGCAAGTTGTGTTCGGCTTGTAATGAATGATATATGCAAGCTGGGTCAACTCTGTCTGTTTTGTTCACACCACAAAAGAGCATATTCAAGCCCGGGTGCTTGCAATGTGAGCTTCTTTGTTTTTTATTGTTTTGGAGGAAAAACAGGTGCAACATTTCCAGCAAAACAGACTCTACTAACCATCGTGCAAGAAAATTGAGAGGATAAAGTTCACATATGGCTTACAAGCTTTTTTTGTCTGATTAGAAAGAGATAGCAGCTTTTCAGTGACTAAAATTATTGATATAGGTTAATGTTAAAAATAGAGAAAATGATGAAATTGATCTCATAATTTTTTCTGAAGGATCAAAATAGTCTTCAACTATATACAAGTACCAGTTTTATCCCTTGACTCTTTAAATAGGGACCAAAGTGGTCCTTTTTTGGGATCATATAGGTCCCTATTTAAAAAGTCAAGGGACTAAAATGAAACTGTTAAATAGTCCGGGATTATTTTAGTTTTTCATAAAGAGTTAAGAGACTATTTTTGTCCTTTTCTTGTTAAAAATATTTTTCTTTGCTCTTGCAAAAAAAAGCCTATGATTACCATTGCTAATATCTAATAATTCTTGATTGAGATGGGAAGACGTTACTACAGTCTACAGTTATGATGACATGCACTACGCTTAGCTGTGAATGGCAAAGCTTACCTTATAAGTATTGAAATTACAGATAAAGTGCTCTGTTAATCATTTATCGCATGAGTTTTCAAATTTTGAAATTTGAAAATTTTGAGGAGTGAAAATTTTCAAATTTGTCCGGCGCCAATTTAGGAAAGTTTAAATGAGGTTTCAATTTCAAATTTTGAATTGAAACGGATTTGAAATTTTTCTTTATTATTTGATTGGGACCAATTTGGAAACCCACTACACCCTCATAAACCCCTCTTCCCCTTGTTTTGCCGCTGGCCCCCCTTGATGAATCCCCCTCAATTAATGCTCCATTAAGGCCCTTAATTGCATGGTTTTGAAATTTCAAATTTCAGAATTTTTCCCTCCTCTTTCACTTAAAAGCTGAGAACAATTTTGGTATGAGGATTATAACATATTTTCCTCATCCCAATTAGTTCTCCCCCAACCCTAGCCCTCTCCCTCTTCTCACCCGTCCACCCTCTCTCTCTCCCTCTTCTTTTCCCCTCAAGGTGTATCTCCTACATAGCATTGAGGTGGATGATCGATCCGGAGTTTGAATCCGGTGTGGCGTAAGAAGGCTAAAATCGCTTGGATCTCCCCCTTTGCCTTTCTCGTTTTGATTTCCCCCCATGGGTGAATCAAAGAGAAGCTCTATTACTATTTGCTATTCATTGTGATCAAGACGAAGGAAGAGAAATTACGAAAGGTTCGTAGTAATTCACGACACTTCTCCGATAAGGTGATCTTCTTCCTAGATCCATTTACTTTTCAAATTCTACTTACCTTATTGAGATTTGTCCGAGCAAGAGACTGTGTCTATTAATCGCCATCCATTAGTAATCGTAGGATTGTTACTTCTTTGCAATTGGATTTCATTGTTAAGTCGTGGTTGAATTGGAAACTACCCCGCATGCACTACTTTAATTTTCCTACGTGTTTTGACGCCGCTTAGCATTTTGTGTAGTTTGACCCAAACGAAAGTAACCCTTCATTAGTTTTATTTTGTTGTTTTAATCACTAATAACGAAATCTGAAATTGATCTTTAAATATTTTGTGCAAGTTTCTAAATCATGCATGTAGTCCTGCATCACAAAGCTTACCTTATAAGTATTGAAATTACAGATAAAGTGCTCTGTTAATCATTTGCCTTAATTTTTCATCTTTATTAGGCTTTGATATTTTATTGATATTTAACTTGTGGCATGCATTTTAAGCTCACTGCAGATGACCAATATATTTACATGAAAACGCATTCAACACTGATCGCATTAAGTAATATAGCAATTAGGACATAAAAGGGAATGATAAATTTACCTTTTTTTTTCCCTAAAGATGATAATAGTTTCATCGGTTCATGTCCTGTGGAAATTTAAGTTCCAATTATATTTTCTGCATATCTGGATTTTGATGTTGATGATGAGGCGGTTATGAGTTTATTAGACTTTGTAGACTCTGATTCAATGTTGGTTTTCACTGACTCTAGATTGTGGGAATTTTGGCTTTTGATTTTTGAAACAGTTCAAATGATTGGTTGAGTTCTATGGCTTGTTTTTAAGAAAATAATTTTTTGAGAATATCTTAATCAAAATTTAACCATAGCGGATTTTAAAACTCTAGGATTTGTTTTGACATGAGCGCTATATAACAGCTGATTGATTATTCATATATTATGCTCATCTCAAAATAAATCCAAAAGTTCTAAAATATCATAGACCAAATTATAAAACCCTGGCCTAATTTTCATTGTGTATTTACTATTTAACCATGTTGCCTATCCATATAGAGGGATATATATAACCAAAAGAATATCAGGTTGACCTGCATCAAGTTTTATGAATTTTAGTTGCAATATCTTTCTATGAAGCATCAGATGATCAAAACTTTTAGCTTTCTTGGACTGTTTGCAGTACTAGCTTTCTTTAGTTTTCTTGAAGCTTTATTTGGTCAACATAGTTATTCTACCAGTATTTATTATGATGCAAGTCAGTTATTGTATGCTTGATTGCTTGAAGCAATCATGTTGAAGCGCACTTCCTAAATAAGTTGTCCTTGCAATCCTTTAGAATTGATGCTTGCTTTCTTTATTCATATGAATGATACATTATATTGTCCACAACTTAGCTTGTAGTGTGGTGCAAGGTTGTAAAAGTCTTTCCATTATATTAGGCTTGATGATTACCCCAAGGTGGAATGTTTGCTTGTCCAGCTCAGTTCTGCTGCACAGTGAATAACTGTATGTTTACTGTCATTTTCTGTTGGGCCGGTTCCTCCTGAACCGGCCCCAACTCCTGAACCGGCCCTGAGAGGGCCGGTTTTTGTCTATAGGAGGCGGGCTAGTACCGCCTCCTCCCCTCTTTGCCGCCCACAATAGTGGGTCCCACTATTTAAATTGAATCTAAAAGGAGAAAGAAGGGGGCGGCTAGGGCTTTGTAGGGAGTTTTGATTTAGAAAGTTTATGTATTAAATAGGAGGTGTTTTAGGGTTAGGTCATGCTTTGATTTGCTTCTCTTGAAGTTTTCTTGGCGACTTAGGCTCTAGACTCCTTGTCTAGAGATTGGGAGAGAACGATCCTCCTCTCGAATTGAGGATCAATTGTATCTTGCTTTGGTGTTTGCTCGGCTTTGATTCCATTATTACAACCTATCGTTTTGGATTGATTTCATCCAGATTTTTGCATTATTCTCGCTGTTTTTACCAATTATCGATAGGGTTGCTTGCGAACTCAAGTATTTCCTCTTGGATTACTTGCGAACTCAATTATTTCCTTTCATTTTCCTTCAGCACTTCTATTACTTACAGTCGTTTAAATTTAAAGAAATTCTTATATAACTATAAACTATGTATGGTATGAAAACTATGAGATGAACATTTGATGAGATGACCTATTATATTGTGAAGCATAAATTTTAAAGCAGATCTAATGATTTTATGGCTTCTAATTTTCTGTATTGAATATTTTGATGTTGACATAAAAGGAAGCTTGCATTATCTTGC